TTCTCACTCCGCTTCACCGAACCACAGTATGCAAGCGGCATCCTCAACGAAGCATGCTGCCCGCGTAGCTGTGTCTATCTATTAACACCTATTAACATCTGAAACGGGACACACAACTGGCGCAGCCATCGGTCCAGCGAGATGCGTATCTCTACGACTACGATGACGACTACGCGATTTTCACGATGACGCAATCATTTGTCAAAAGATCACGGATTTTCATACGAATTTCGAGCGAAAATGTTCGTAATAATTTATGAAATAAGTTTACATTTAAGAGGATATTAAAGTAAAGAATCTTAGAGTTTAATCACTTAATTTGGTATTATATTTACGAGATAAAAAGGACTGGCCACTTATACGGAGACACTCTGTATATTTGAGCGCTGATAAGAGAAAAAGGCGAAAATGTTGAGTGCAAAAAGTGCAAGCACCACGAGCAGATGTTTTGCAAGAATTACTTAACAAACTTGTCTGTTAAATAAAATTACCGATGGACGTTAAAATAATATAAAATCAATCAACGGAATTTGTAAGGAACAACGTAAGGATCAGGGTTCAAAATCGAAGACCTCTGAGAATTCTTGGCGCGCGAGGTATTCGGCTTTGTGAAACGCCGCGACGATTACTATTTAGCCGACCCGTTCTCCTCGGGGCTTGCTTGCCTCCTGTCCTTTTATTTACTCTCGCGGTGGAATAGCCGACTCTGGTAATAGATAACACAGGGAAATCTGCCGTGGTGGATCACGCGACCGGAAGAGACACGTGGCCACCCTCTGTGAAGGCGCCGGGGTGGGCAGGGAGAAGAGAGAGGAACAGCACGCACGACGATGCACGGTTTGGGAATCCCCCGGAGCACAACACCGCTGAAGCGTCGTCGTCAAAGTAGCTGCTAGGGTCTCTCTCTCTCATCCTCCTTCACCGGTCGTGCTGTTTGATACCACGTGCTCTGCTCGTCGAAATAAAAAGCGACCGACATCGGCAAAGCAGGGAGGGAGGAGGAAGAGAATTCCTCCCCATTTCGATATCAAAGACTCTCCAGCGAGAACCGCTAAAACGATGCTCTTTGACATTACAAAGCTTTCGGTATCCCTCCTTTCCCTCTTAACCTTTCTCTTTGCCCGCGCGGTGTCGCCCACGCTCTTTCTCTCCACTTTTCTCAAGTCCGTTTCTTGTTTGCCGCAAACGTGCCCGACCACCAAAGAAAGTGACTTACGTCGTATATACACTCGGTGCCGTCAATGTCGTCGTCGTCGTCGTCGTCGTCCTCGTCTATAGGCAATATTTTTTCACTGAAATCGCACCGTGGCGTGGGTAAAAGGAGAATCTCTTTAAAGTGTCGCGGCTCTTCGGTCTCATGAGATACCGCCTTTCCTTTAATCCACTCTCATGCACGAGTGCGTGTATGTGTAACGTTTCTTTTTAGCTTTTAAGTGACAAAGTGACGTCGCGCTTCGATTGAAGATTTTGAGAGAAATTTGTTCTTTCGTCTACAAATACGTGAAATTTCTACTGTATTTCCTGAGAGATATTATTTATTATCTTAATTTTTTTATTCAGGCACTGAAAAAAAATTGAAACTGAAATTAAATTTTAATCAATATATTATTTGATACAAAAACCATTTATTTAACTACCATTTTTTTATCGAGTAATTATTTATTTACTGTAAGTGTTTACTATTCCAAAAATATGTATTAAAATTTAACAAATTTTTTTCAGTGGGGATATCGAAATTTAAACAGTAAAAATTTTTCTATCAGAAATTTTTGCACAGATTTGATCTTGTTTCACTTTTACATTTTTAATGGCTTAAAAAATAAAAAATGATTTAAATCATATTTAAAATTATTTCAGTGTAGCCCTCATTTTTGTATTGAAATTTCTTCTCTAAGTTTATTTTCATTTAAGAATATAACTATTTTTACATGTTAAACTTATTTAAACTTTAAATTACATGTATACATATGAAAATTATATAATTCAGTTTTAACATTAAAAAATCATACGTATGTATATT